TGGTTGAGGTGCCATTTGCTGAGAATTTTTTCTGCAGTCCAGCAGTACTAGCGCATGGCCCAGCAGCACCATGAGAGCAACCTGCTGAGCAGTGCTGACTTGTCTTCCAGATTCTGCCCCTTCTAAAGGCCAGCGGTTCAATGCTGGACGTGGTGAACAACTGCTCCATGCTGTGCCGCCTGCAGATGGAAGGTAGCTGGCTCTGCCTCCCTCGGGTCTGTCCCTCCCCGACAGTGAGGGCAAGGTGCCCATGGGTGCCCGAGGTCAGTGAAGCCGGCCACTGCTGCCCTGACTTCCGGTTCCCAGCTCCACTCAGGCTCAGCACCCTGGTGACCTGCCACTCCCATGGCTGCCTGCCACTGGCCTAGGAACATGTGGCACCTGGGCATGTCTCCTCACTGCCCCCTTTCCCAGAACAGGAAGACAGAGAAGTCTCTCTGTCTCCCCAACCTGGACGGGGTGGTCACAGCTCTGGGCCAGTGTGGGGAGCCCCGCAGGCAGCCCCAGAGGCAGCGTGTTCCCTTCCATGTTCAGCAGAGAGAACTCTGCTTCTGTGCAAGCCAGGGCCGGGCCCTGGGTCAGCGGACAGTGAGGGCCAGGCCTGAGCTCGGCCCTTTCTAGAAGGCCCCAGGGAGGCCTCATAATGGAGATGCAGTGTGAGCCATGAAGGCTGTGTGGGGTACCAGGCATAGGGGGGTCTCAAACACAGTGAGCCATGAAGGCTGTGTGGGGTACCAGGCATGGGGGGTCTCAAACACAGTGTGAGCCATGAAGGCTGTGTGGGGTACCAGGCATGGGGGGTCTCAAACACAGTGTGAGCCATGAAGCTGTGTGGGGTACCAGGCTCTCGGGGGTCTCAAACACAGGAGCACAGCGTGTGCAAAGCCAGCGGCCCACGGAACCAGGGACTCGAGGCCAGCCCTGTAGGTGAGGTCTGTGCGGGCAGAGGAGGCTGGTCCATTAGTCTCAACCCAGGCAATCCTTGGCTGGCAGTACCCACCCAGAACTCACCCAGGGCACATCTGTGTATGAGAGAGGAGCAGTTGGAGGGGTGGTGAGCTGGCAGGCATATAATGGCCACACACTGTTCCATGGGGCATTGTGGAGAGTAGGAACCCTGTGCAAATGGCTGAGGGAGCCAGAGGCTGAGCATGGGAGCTGTGGTTGGAGAGCAGGAGGGCAGCAGCAGCGGAGGGAAGGCACGAGGATTTTGCAGGGGTGGTGCTGGAAAGGAAGGGGCACCCAGGGGAGATGCCGAGTTAGGAGGGCCAAAGGAAGTCAGCCAGTGCCTTCCCAGGTGCCACCCAGCGCCCAGCGTTGCACAGGGGCGGTGCCCACTGCAACAACTTATTTCTTGGGTGTGTCAAGGTGCCGGAGACCTCACAGTTTTAGAGAGCTGCTTTCTGCCTTATGCACCTGCTGTTTTAATGATGGAGGAAGTTCACAGAGTCCAAAGGCATCGCCAGCCCCACCCCCAGCCTCTCACCTGGAACAGGCCACCATTAGGGCTCCCAGGGGACGCTGGGGGACCCTGTCAGCCTCGTGTCAGGACCTGGGTGTTCTTCCTGTGTCTGCAGGAGTGTCTGTGGGCCAGCGCTGGCACAATCTGCTGCCTGTGACCCAGAAGCACACACGTGACCACACCCTGCTATTCAACGACGCACACCTGCTGATGGCCTCGCTGGGCGCCGGGGACTCCCAGACCACGCAGGAGCTGCTGAGCACCCTGCAGGAGGCCAGCGAGTAGGTGGGGGTGCCTGCAGGTGACCGAGAGGGCCGGGGCTGCTGGGGCTCGCCCCCGCGTGCCAGGGAGAAGGGTGGGGGGCCTCAGTGGGGAGCCCAGCTGTGAGATGGGGAACCGATCCCAGCTGCGTCCCACATGGGTGTGTGCACAAGGGTGCACATCTGGTGGCTCTAGGAGGTCGGTGCTATTATAGCCACTTTTCAGATGGGCAAACTGAGGCCAGAGGTTGTGAGCCTTGTGAGGCTATTGCCGACCCCGTGCCATTAGACCCAAGTTCAGAGCCCTGATTCACTCCCCATGGGCAGCTCTGTCAGTGCACCCCAAGGCGCTGGCAGAGGGGTTGCAGCCCGTCCGCCTGCTGAGGGCCTTGTCTTGACTGGCAGATCCCCGGGGGAGAACTGTCAGCACCTCCTGGCCCGAGATGTGGGGCTGCCCCTGTGCCAGGCCATGGTGGAGGCTGATGCTGGGAATGCAGACCGCGCCCTGCAGCTGCTGCTGCCCATCCGCTACCGGATCGTCGAGATTGGGGGCAGCAATGCGCAGGTGAGCACTGCCCCCTGGGCCGTCTTCCCTGCACCCCCAAAGGCGCAAGCCAGCCGCTGGGGCACCGGCACTCACAGGGCAGTGTGCCTGCCTCCCACGCCTTCTCCCTGTGCAGCCTCTCCGTGTGGGTCCAAGCCCCAGGAGGGGTCATTGCCCTGTCCCTCATCCTTCCTTCCGGGGTCTGACTCACCACTGGTTTTGCAGAGAGATGTCTTCCACCAGTTGCTGATTCACGCAGCCCTCAACTGCACCTCCAGCACGCACAGGAACGTGGCCCGGTGAGCACCTCACGCTTCCTGCCTGGGCAGGGCTGGGGGCTTCCTCACAAGCTCGGCTGTCATTCCAGGATAGCTGGGGTGTCCTCTGGCAGCCCCCATCTCCCTGCAACACTACCCATGCAGCCACACTAGCTCCAAGGGTGCCCGTAACATGCTGTGCCCTGGGACTCCTTGTCCCCTGCTCTGCCTGACCCATGCCCCACTACCCCATCAGGCCCAAAGTCCCCGTTGTGCCTCTGGGGGCTGCCCTGACAACTGCCCCACTTGGCAGCCTGCATGGCAGGCACCTGCCATCATGTGCAGCACCCAGGCCTGCTGGCGTGCGCTTCTGGGGATGTCTCCCTTCCCACCACCTTCCTGGGTCCTCACCTTTCTTCTTACAAGGGCCCACCCTCAGACCTCCTCGCCTCTCCCAGACCCAGCTCCCAACACTGCATCCTGGGAGCCTTGGGCCACGTGGCTGAGCCCGGAGGTGACATGGAGGGGGGTCTTCACTGCCCCCCAGTGCGTCTTCACTTGTTCTCCCACAGCCTGGGTTTGCACTAGACCTCTTCTGCTGCTAGTTTGCCTTGCTCAGGTTCACATGTGGCTTCCTGCCCTCGTGCCTGCCCCCTGCCCAGCCCACGTCCTCCAGTCACCAGCACTGGGCCCTGGAGAGCTGGGCCCCCAAGTCCTACAGCTTCCCTTGGGCATGAGGGACCACAGTGACAGAGTGCAAGGCCCTCCACCCCACAGTGACACAGTGCAAATGGCCACATTCCTCAGCCAGGCCAGGCAGGCTGCCCGTGGCCTGCCCTGCCCACTCTGCCCTCTGCAGGCTGCCCGTGGCCTGCTTGTGGCCAAGCCACAGCCAAACCCACGTCTCTCTCCTCAGGACTCTTCTGATGGAACGAGACGCCCTGAAACCCAACTCACCCCTGACCGAGAGGCTCATCCGCAGGGCAGCCGCTGCGCACCTCATGTAGTGAGCATGCCCATGGCCTCGCCAGAGCCAGCCCGTTCGGCTCGGGTCAGGCCTCCTGTCCGAGAGGGCTGCATGGGGGCAACCGTGTCAGCTGGCTGTCGGTTCTCTGGGGGACACACAGCTTCCACATGTGTGATTCAGAATGTTCACCCACTCCTGCTGGAGGGTGGCGCACACTTCCAAGCAGTCATAACTGGCGCGGGTGCTGCCCTAGTCTGAGTGTGTGCACACTGCTTCCTACACTGCACAGGGTCAGGGGCCTCACACTGCTTTCTACACTGCACCTGTTAGCTCTGTAGCTTCTGCTCACGCAAATTTCCGTAATAAAAATAATCAAATGCTTTAATTTTTTACTGTTTATTCAAAGGCCCAGTGATAAATATTCCATGTGTGGGTTCACTCCCCAAATGTGCACCAAAGCTGGTGTGGACACACACAGGAGCCATGGAGTCCAACCAGGTCTCCAAAGAGGGTGGCAGAGCCCTATGACCCTGGGCCATCTTTTGTCTCTCCAGGCCCCTTGGCAGGGAGCTAGATCAGAATCTGAGTAGCCAGGACTCAATGCTATAACTCCAGTGGGAGATGCTGCCGTGCCAACATGCTGTGCCCCGGTGCTGGCCTGACTAGTGCCAGTCCTCGGCTGGGTCCTGGGCAGAAAGGGTTCTCCTTGAAGTTGGTGTGTGTGAGCCATGTCATTTACAATTACAATGGGATTTGCATACCCAGGGGATGTACTGTCCCAGCCAGGAGTCTCCTTCCCCGTGGGGGGTTCCAGTTGACACATGACTTAGCCAAGGAACTGGGGTCCAAGGTCCCTCCTCCGAGAAGCTGTCCACCCTCCACTGAGATGTAGTTGGCAGCTTCCCTTAGGGCCAGCCTCACTGTCCTGTCACCCCACAGCATGGTTTACACTGCCTAGCTGCCCATCCAAGTGGGCAAGGAACACAGAAACGTACTCACAGTGTTGTGAGTGGAGGCAGGCAAAATGGAAGGGGTGCAGGGAAGACACAGTTTATAGTGACATGTTTCTTGTCAGTGCTGTACATCAGGGGCAGGAGTGTGGGCAGTGGGTAGGCAGTGAGTGGGCAGTGTCAGGGACTTTCCAGTGCTGCAGGGATCTGACCCTCAGGAGGCAGGTTTGGAGTGGCCCTAAGCCCCACAGGCACAGACCATCAGGCACTGGGCACAGGGGTCAAGAGCCTGGCCTCTGACCATGGGTGGGGGAGGCATGGGGCCAGGCTGCCAACCCAGCAGGTAGTGACAACCCAGCAAGGCTAGCGCCAGCTTCACCAGAGGTGGGCGGAGAAAGCCCCGCCCTGGTCCCTCGTGCCCCCCTCCTTCCTTTCTTGGGGATAGGAGGTTTGCTCCTGGGTCTGTCTCCATCACTCCTCCCGTTAGAGAATGGAACCCAGCAGGGATCTCGAAGTCCCAGGCTCAGGGGAAGGGAGGGCCCAGGGAGACCAGGTAGAGAATGCAGCAGGACGCCAAAGGCTGCCTAGAGAAACCCCGAATGCACAAGGCGCTGAGGACTCCACGTAGAGCCAAAACCCCGGGAGTGCAGAGGGCGTCACCTTGTACAACCCCGGCCACGGCTCAGGGACGCCGTGTAGAGGAGCAGCCGACAGACTTCCGGAAGACTTCCGGGGAGGTGCAGAACCAATCAGCTGCGCGGAAGCAGCGCGCGTGCGCCCTGGGCTCCTTGGCGGGGCTCGCCGCAGACTACAATCCCCAGGATGCTCCGGGCCCGCCGACTTTTCAAACGGACCAATCGGCACCCACGCAGCCCGACGGTGCGTTTAAATCCTTGGCGGGGCTCGGCGGCGTCGTGCGAAGTGGGCCGCTGGGGTGAGGGGTTCTTCGGTTTGAGTCCGCGGGAGCGTGGCAGCTTCCCGGGCCGAGCCTCCGGGCCGGCCCTCCGTTATCGGGCTTTCCCGGGCCGGGCCGCGGTTCCCCAGCAGCACCCGGCCTGCTGGCACCCGGGACGGCCCGCTTTCCCCCGCTCCCTCACCTGGCCCGGACACCTGCCTCACTCCGGCCCCTTCCTCCTTGCAGCTCTGGCCATGGACCGAGCGAATGGCGGCCACCTGTCTTCCGCTGGCCGGGCAGGGCACGCGCAAACGGATGAGGCTGAGAAAGAAGGTGAGGCCCGGGTCCAGCCGCGGGAACTCGGGGGCCGAGTGAGATGCTCCTGTGTGCTGTGCTGTGCTCCGGGAGGAACGGGGTACCGGTGTCTGGGGGAGTGCCGCCTGGGAGGCACAGGGTCCCCATATCCATGGGAGGGTCTCCCGTGTCCATGGGGAGTGCCGCCCGGGAGATACAGGGTCCCCATGTGTGGGGGTTCTCGGGTACATGCGGAGGATCACTTGGGCAGACAGGACCCCCATGTTCATGGGGCGGCTGTCCCTGTGTGTGTGGGGAGGGAGGGTCTCCTGTGTCCATGGGTGGGTCGCCCAGCAGGTCACTGGCCCCTCTGTGTAGGGAGGGTCACTCGGGAGGAGCAGAGCCCTGTGTACCTGTGGGGGGGACGGGGACACACACACACACATACACACGGTTTGTCACCACAGGAGGACGCTCCAGGGTTTGTGATGGGTCTTTGATTTCTATACAAGGCAGTGCTGCTTAAGTTACTTGACAGGGTCTTCCAGATGCCAGCTACAGTGCCTGGGCTGGGGCAAGGACTCCTCTTGGTTCCCCTGGCAGGCCTGGGCTGGGGCAGGGGCTCCGCTCGGTTCCCCTGGCAGGCCTGGGTCGGGGCAGGGGCGCCGCTCCGGTGCCCTGGTCCCCTGGGTGGATGTGGGGAACCCTGGTTGTGTGATGGCAGCCATCTCTTGGGTATGTCTCGGCAGGAAGCTGGAGCCAGGGACCCTGGTGTGTGGCATCTCGCCAGGTGGGGTGCCTGCCTTGTGCTGTGCTGGTCTCTGAGCTGTGTGGGACCCTGGGAATCTGTGAGTGAGCAAGGCTGGTGGGGACTTTGTTCCCTGCTGTGTCGTCTTGTGGTTTGGTTACTAAGGTTCCTGGGTGTCCAAGGGACACCCGCCCAGCCCAGCTCCAGCATCAGCACCCAGCAGTGCTCTGGGCCCTTACGGGAAGTGGCAGGGACTGGCCTGGCTCCACGCAGGCAGCCCTCTGAGTGCGGAAGCTGGTCCCTGGCTCAGGTGTGATGCCTGCTGCATGGAACATGTCATACCTGCTCGTCATGCTGTAAGGGCGACAGGAACAAGAGCCCTGGACACATTCGTACAGACACACAGATGCTTACGAGTTATTTTTGATCCCAGGTGATTGGATCTGTAGGTGAGGGACCCTGGGTGTGGCCCCGCCCCAGTGCTGTCATGGCTGCTTGCAGAGACAGCCTGCTGTAACCCCTGTCCCCAGTGCTGTCATGGCTGCTTGCAGAGACAGCCTGCTGTAAGCCCTGACCCCAGTGCTGTCATGGCTGCTTGCAGAGACAGCCTGCTGTAAGCCCTGTTCCCAGTGCTGTCATGGCTGCTTGCAGAGACAGCCTGCTGTAAGCCCCGACCCCAGTGCTGTCATGGCTGCTTGCAGAGACAGCCTGCTGTAACCCCTGTCCCCAGTGCTGTCATGGCTGCTTGCAGAGACAGCCTGCTGTAAGCCCTGTCCCCAGTGCTGTCATGGCTGCTTGCAGAGACAGCCTGCTGTAAGCCCCGACCCCAGTGCTGTCATGGCTGCTTGCAGAGACAGCCTGCTGTAACCCCTGACCCCAGTGCTGTCATGGCTGCTTGCAGAGACAGCTCACTGTAACCCCTGTCCCCGCTGCTGTCATGGCTGCTTGCAGAGACAGCCTGCTGTAAGCCCCGACCCCAGTGCTGTCATGGCTGCTTGCAGAGACAGCCTGCTGTAAGCCCTGTCCCCAGTGCTGTCATGGCTGCTTGCAGAGACAGCCTGCTGTAACCCCTGACCCCAGTGCTGTCATGGCTGCTTGCAGAGACAGCTCACTGTAACCCCTGTCCCCGCTGCTGTCATGGCTGCTTGCAGAGCAGCCCCGGAGACTGCATATGCTCGTGTTGATCATTCAACATTGTGTTGACCCTGTTTTCCCTTGCAGGACACACCCTCCTGGCCCTGACGCTCCTGCGTGGTGGCCACACACTCCCGGCGCTCTCTCTTTGTGTCTCTTCCTTGGGCGTCCTATGCCACACGCCCGTGTTCCCAGATCTCGCTGGTCCATCCCTGGTGTTCAGAGCTCTAGCTGCCCTGTGGCGTCTGCTCTTTCCCCTGTCACTAGCTTCCTGTAACCAGACACCTCCTGCTTAGCGCACCCCCTGCTCCCACTTGCACCTGTTCTTGTTTGGCCATTTTGTGTGTTCCTAATAGATGCTGCCTGCTTCCTTCTAAGAGCAGCAGTCAGTTTATAGTGCCTGCTGTGAACTCTTCAGTGGCTGCTATTGAGTTTTGGATAAAATAAGAAATCTTGTAGGGCAGACATCGGGCCCCGCGTCCCATGTCAGGGCCCAGCTCTGCTTTCTGCTGGCACATGACCCAACAGACAACAGGCGATGGCTCCTGTGCTGGTGTCCCTGGACGCAGGGCCACATCCCGATCCTGTTCCTGGCTGCACTGGCCCAGCGCTCCTGTGGTGGACTTTTGAGATGTGAACCAGAGTGAATGGAAGATCCCGTGCTCTCCCTGCATTTTTTTTTTTTTTTTTTTTTGTATTGGAAAGGCAGATTTACAGAGAGAAGGAAAGGCAGAGAAAGATTTTCCATCCACTGATTCATTCCCCAAGTGGCTGCAACAGCCGGAGCTGAGCCAATCTGAAGTCAGGAGCCATGAGCCTCCTCTGGGTCTCCTATATGGAGCCGTCCTCAACTGCTTTCCCAGACCACAAGCAGGGGGCTGGATGGGGAGTGGAACTACGGGGTCAGGAACTGTTGCCCACTTGGGATCCTGGTACTTGCAAGGTCAGAGTTTAGTCACTGAGCCATCGTGCCAGACCCTCTACCTTCTAAATAAATATGAATAAGTAAGTGAGTGAGTACGTGCTTGGAAAGCACCTGTGCTCAGTGTCCTTGTGGTTCAGGTGCCCTCCAGTCTTTTCCAGCTTGCAGCTGCCCTAATGATGGAGCAGGTCCTCAAGCTTCTGCTGTCTTGGAGGCGTCGGTACCCCACTCAGGGCAGTCTGCATGGCCCTCGGTGCAGAAGGCACAGCTGGCCACCCAAACCACCCAGAGCCCCGGTACAACATGGCTGCCGTCACACCTGCACCCTGAGCCCTCATCCACAGCAGACAAGGAGAAGTTGCTGGGAGTGCGTGCTCACAAATTTGGCCTCCTGGTTCAGATATCTAAAAATGACTTTCCTGTCTGTCCTGGAACCTGCGTGGCCCTAGGTGGTTTAGCTCTTGGGGGTCCCTGGGGATGTGGCTTGTGCAAGTATGAGCTAGCTGTACATGGTACCTGCCACTTCCTTCCCTACAGAGAGAAGGAGAGACGGACAGATCTGTCTGCTGGTTCACTCCCCAAGTGGCAGCAATGGCTGGAGCTGAGTTGATCCAGGAGCCAGGAGCCTCTTCAGGTCTCCCACACCAGTGCAGGGTCCCAAGGCTTTGGGCCATCCTCAACTGCTTTCCCAGGCCACAGGCAGGGAGCTGGAAGGGAAGTGGAGCAGCTGGGACAGGAGCTGACACCCACATGGGATCCCAGTGCTTGCAAAGCGAGGATTTAGCCACCGTATTAACTCTATTGTGATGGAATGTGGAACAGACATTAGCCATTTGCTAAGTGTCAGGACCTCAGCCAGAGCTTGAGGAATTTGTTTTGGTGGGGCTTCCAGTCTAGCCGGGCCTCTGAAGTGGCCAGGGACACCTACAGAAACGTGAAGCCAGCAGAGCGGGAGCGGTCAGGGGCAGGTGCTGTGGGAGGCCTGGGAGAACAGAGCCGGTCTCCGAGGGGAACGTGGTGTGAGCCTCTGCGGCTGCGGAGAGGATGCCTGGGCGGGACACCAGGCGCAGGGTCCCCTGGGGCTCGGGAGAGGCTGAGAAGCCACATCGGTCCTCGCCTTGCTCCTGGGTCACTGTGGGAAGATGGCCAGGTACGTGGTAACCTGAGGAGGCCTGGGCAGCCTGACCTGGGTGCCTGCGGTGCTGCCCTTGCCTGGAGAAGCTGCCGGGATGATTCCAGGCGAGCGTCTCAGTCTGTCTAAAACCCACATCAGCCGTGGGTTGGCTGTGGCCACTTTAAGAGCGAACAGAAGGCAATGTGATCTGGACCCCCAGTGAAAGTGGGGTTAAATGGACACGGGTGTCGCTTCCACGTGTGGCCTCTTCCTCCCCCAGTCACCCCAGCCTTCTCTCTGCCAGGTGTTGTTCTTCTGGCTGATGAACAGTTCGACTTTGATCTCTCCTTGTCGTCCTCCAGGTAAACAAATGGGTTTTCTTCCCTGGCCTTGGGATGCAGTCGGCTGAGTTTTTGATATGAATGCCACATAGTCATCAGTCTTTTCTTTAAAACTAGCGCGAATGAAGATGATGAGGTGTTCTTTGGGCCTGTTGGGCATAAAGAAAGATGCATTGCCGCCAGCCTGGAGCTCAGCAGCCCCGCCCCTGGGCCGGGCCCTGGAAGCCCCCTGGCGTGGAGCCCCCTGGCCGGGGAGAAGTTCGTGGAGGTGTACAAGGAAGCGCGTCGGCTGGCGCTGCAGATAGAGAGCAGCTGCAGGAACCGGGCTGCGCCCGCCGCGCAGCCCCAGGAGCCCGCCGCCCAGCCCGCCGCCCAGCCCGCCGCCCAGCCCGCGGAGAGATTCATCCAGGAGTCACAGCTGAAACTGAGCCTCTTTGACAAGGAGCGGGAGGCACAGAAGAGCCCCAAGTCACTAAAACGAGACACGTACTTCCTGCCCAACAGCCCCTTGGGGCCATCGCTCCCAGGGCTCCAGCCCTCGGCCCTGCCCAGCTCTGCTGCCCAGGCTGGCCCCGTCCAGGCGCAGGGGCCACTGCTCTCGTCTCATCCAAGGGCTGCCCGCCCTGCCAACCCGACAGTGACTCAGAAGAGGGCGCCCAGCAAGCTGCAGTTCCCTAGGGCGTCAGCGGCGGGCAGAGGGAAAAGCCTTCACGTGACCTCGGACAAGGTAGAGGAGCTCTCTCCTGGGGGACTGAGTGGGGGGACCGGGAGGGGAGGGGCTGTGAGACTGAAGAACAGCTGCTGTGTAGGGCCCAGGGACCCCGGGCAGCGTGCGTGTGTGTGTGTGTGCTGTGTGTGTGCGTGCAGGGCACAGGGACCCCGGGCAGCATGTGAGTGTGTGTGTAGGGCCCAGGGACCCCAAGCAGCGTGTGTGTGTGCGCGCGTGCATGTGTGTGTGCGTGCGTGTGTGTGTGTGCGTGTGGGGGGGCACAGGGACTCGGGCAGTGTGTGTGTGTGTGTGTAGGGCACAGGGACTCGGGCAGTGTGTGTGTATATGAACACGTGTAGGACTTGGGGACTTAAGGCAGTGTGGGGCGTGGGGACAACTCGGGGCAGGATTTCCATCCCGCCCTGTGCCTTGTTGGACCTTGTTGGACTGCTCGTGTGCCAGACTGGATCAGCAGTGGTCTTCAGAGAGCTGCTGGGATGGCTGTGAGCCGCAGGAAGTCCTGCCGGCGTGTGGAGGGTTGCTGGCTTTGGAAACACAGCCAGTGGAAGGTAAAGTGGCATGGCTTCATGGACAATCTGGGCCATCCCTTGGAAATCCGTAGGTAGGGCTTCCGTCCAGCGGCCGAGGCGCTCCGCGGCAGACCTGATGGGACGCCGGCCCCGCATGGGGTAGGTACACACGTTCAAGGCCGCAGCAGTCCTAGTGGCTAGCAGGTAGAGCCAGCCCAGACAGCCAGCAGCCTGCCTCCTGGCAACAACCGCACCCTGGCAAGAAGCAGATGAGAAGTGACTTGGGGGTCCTGGCCGAAGCAGCTTCCGGGATCCCCGCTGTCCTGGTGTAGTCTTGGTGCCCTGAGGAAATGTCAGGGACTAAGGAAGCGTTGCGGTCACCAGGGCAGTGGCTGAGCAGAGGACGTGTGCCACAGTCAGGTGTGCTGTGTTGGGAAGGGCTGCGGCTGCGCCACACCGAAGGGAGCGCCGGGCAATCCTCATGTCTCAAATCTAAAATTTTCAGCTCAAGAAAGAGATGCCGAGTAGTCCTCCCAGCACAGAAACCCTGAAAGGAAAGGAGCTCCGTGGGGACGCACTCCCTGACAAGGCTAGTGCGTCTCTGGACACAGCCAGTGTGCCAGCTCCTGGAAGCCACCTGGCCCTGGGCAGCCGATCACTGCCCATGCCTCCCAAGGTGAGGGCGCAGCAGGCGCAGTCCTGGGGCTAGGGACGTAGACGCAGTGGGTGTGGGAGTGCAGAGTCTCAATTCAAACCACATCAGCACAGTTGAACGCGTGTCCACGGAGGGGCTCAGTGGAAGGCGTCCTCAGCTAGGCCCACAGTAGCCTGTGTCATGGCCCAGGGTTGAGGGGTGGACGGGTCGGCCTCCCTGAGCGTCAGTGCCGCAGTGGGCCACCCCTGGCCCCTCACGCACCTGGGTGTGAAAGGGATGGAGCAGGATGCGATGCACGCAGTAGCTCTCAGGCCTGGAGGTCACCAGCAGACTCTTTGTCCTTTATTTCTTGGCACTGACGGTCCAGCCAGGCTCTGTGCAGGGCTGTGCAGAGTTGCCTGTGCTGAGCCTGTATCAGCTGGCTCGGGCCCACAGCTGCATCCCTCCCGTGCCCCACACTTCTCAGGCTGGGCACTGGAGAGAAATCCACTGCATTCCCACATGCACAGAAGCAATATCCTGCTCTTGCAGGGCTCAGCAGTGGGTAGCTGACAAGTTCCACTGACCATCGTGGGGTGTCCAGGGCATGGGGCAGTGTGTGTGTGTGCAACTGACCGTGTGAGGCATCCAGGGGCACAGGGCAGGGTGTGTATGTGTGCAACTAACCGTTGTGCAATATTTATCTCAGTTGGGGCTGAGGAAGAGCCTGTTGCGACCACCCAGCTGCAGTGTGGCCCGGAAGTCCTCTTCCTCGGGGGGCGTGTCCCGTGAGGTGGCCGGTGTGTGCCCCTCTCCCGCAGCAGGCAGAGGTGAGCATGAGCACCTTGGGCTAGGCCCACCCCAGCCGGACACGGGCCTGTGCTTAACACAGACAGGGTGGGGAGGGCCCGGCGGGGGGGACACTGTCGCCGCCCCTGTCTTGCGTGCTGCTGTCCAGTGAGGAACAGTGTGGCAGGTGGCTGGCTCGTGCGGGGGCCTGGCAGTGATGAAGTGCCTGTGGACACAACACTCGGATTGTGCTCGGGTCCTGCCATGGCGCGGTGCCCCAAGCCTGCTGCAGCTCAGGCTGAACTCTGCCCTGAGCTGAGGCTGCTCTCCAACAGGAAGGCAAGGAGCCACGGGGCTTTCACAGCTCCCTTTTGGTGCCTGCTGTGTGCACTGCGCAGTGCTGCCTGCTGAGGGTTTTGCTCATGAAATGGGCCATTTGTGAACACCCTGAGGCTGATGGGATGGGTCGTCCTGACTCTGCCACGCAGTGTTTCAGAGTTCGTATACTGTCTGCCACGCGGGACCTTACCCAGCTTGGCAGGGTTGCAGTCTCCCAGTGCCAGTGGGCCTGCCCCTCTGTGGCACACAGTCGCTTTGCAGACACGGACGCCCACCTGCGGCCATTGGTGAAAAGGGAGGCCTCTGTTTCCGTGGCAGGAATTGGGTGGGCCACTTGATGTGTGATAACCAGACTTCATGTGTCCCCTCTTCCAGCTAAGCTTGCCAGCGCTCCAGCCCACAGCTCCTTGCTTCTGCCAAACGCTGGCAGGTTGGGCAGAACAGGCCCCACTGCGCCGCCCCAGCCTCTACCAGCAGCAGAGTCCGATGGAGCCAAGTCCACACCGGAGCAACCCACAGTGCCCCCCGCAGCTGCTCCCACACAGTCCCAGACCCCCAGAACAAGGGACCCAGGGCTGCACTCTAACTTGACTCTGCCGGCGTCTTCTCGGCTGAGTGAAGTTGGAAATGCCAGGAGGCAAGATTCCCATCGAAGGTCCTCAACCAAGACCATGCCGACTCCCACAGATCCGTTTAAGGTTCCCAGGTTTTCTGTTGGTGAGTAACCGTGAACCTGCACCTTCACAGAAGCCCAGGTGCGGTTTTGTACACCTGGCCGCAGCACCATGGAATTTCATGTTCTGTTCTTCCACGGTGTGGGGTGAGGAGTACCTGAGGCCCCAAATTTGGGGGGCAGTGTGGTGGTTCAACAGGCTAATTCTCCACCTGCAGTGCCAGAATTCCATATGGGCACCAGGCTGGTCCTGGATGCTCCACTTCTGATCCAGCTCCCTGTTTGTGGCCTGGGAAAGTAGTGGCAGATGGACCACGTCCTTGGGATCCTGTGCCCACTGGGAGACCTGGAAGAAGCTTCTGGCTCCTGCCTTTGGATCAGCTCAGCTATCTTCCATCCACTAGTTCACTCCGCAAGTGTCCACAGAAGCCAGGAAGTCCACCCTGATCTCCCACGTGGGTGGCAGGGCCCAAGCATCCGGGCTGTCATCTGCTGCCTTCAGGGTGCGTGAGCGGGAAGTTGGTTTAAGAGTGGAGGGGCTGGAGCAGAAGTGGCACTGCAGTGTGGGCAGGTGTCCCAGGTGGCAGCTCAGCCTGCTGCACACAGCTCCCCTTCTGGGGTGCCTGCTATCATCTTGGGGGTCTGTCCTGCTGAGGTATCTTGTGCTGTGGGGGCACAAAAGCAGCCCATTTGTGGGCAGCGGTGACAGCTGGGGGACAGTGGCCTGCCATCCACGGAGGAGGGGCCCCGAGTGGCTGGGCTCAGGACCTCTGCAGCCAGCTGCAGCACTTGGCGAGACGTTGCCTGGGGCCCCAGCGCATGGTGGGTGTGGCTTGTCTGTGAGCTGGCTCATGGGGAGCCATGCTGCAGGGGCTGTGGCAGGGTGGGAACTCTGGGTGTCGGGGCCCACTTGGGCCTTGGTGGGCCTGCATCTCAGCACCCTAGATCAGCCAGGCGGCTCGGGGAGCACGCAGGCACAGCATCCCCATCAGGAGATGGCGGCCTGGCCCAGGGATGTAGCCACGGGCGGGAGTCAGAGTGAGGGGACACTAACCGCTTGTGGCTGACCCTCACTTCCTCTCTTGGTCCTAGGTGGCTCACCAGGCGGCACAACGCCCAAGCCCTCACGGATGCAGAGGTTGCAGTCCTGTGCATCAGCTGGGAGGTAATAACCACTGACCTGCCATCCTTCTCCCTTACCCTAGGAACCCCTGAGGTGCCCAGCTAGCTGTGACAGTGCATCAACTCAGCCTGCCCTTCTGCCCGCTGGCCAGGGCTGCGGGCACACCCTGTGTGCACACTCACACTGCTGGTACTTAGCCTGCTTGGCCACTGGCTGAGGGCACACCCTGTGTGCACACTCACACTGCTGGTACTTAGCCTGCTTGGCCACTGGCTGAGGGCACACCCTATGTGCACACTCACACTGCTGGTACTTAGCCTGCTTGGCCACTGGCTGAGGGCACACCCTATGTGCACACTCACACTGTGGGTGCACACTGAGGTTCCACTTTGGTATCTGCCGAAGCCCTAAGCTCCCGTGCTATGAGACTGCCTGGGCTCGAGTCAGGTGCTTGGTGGAGCCCACAACCTCGCCTCTACCTCAGCTGAAGATTCCCAGTCGGGCAGCTGTGCAGACAAGCAGAACAAGCTGACCTTGCTCACAGTGTGGTCCCCAGCAGGGCATGGCAGCTGGTGCAGGTCACAGGCACCTCCGGCCATGCCTCCTGTGCACTCCACCTGCAGTCCTCGCCGTGGGGGTGTGGCTGGGGCGGGGCCAAGAACAGACATCCTGGGCTCGCATCCACTCAGCCAGTCCCTGGCACCAGTGTGGATGGGGATGGCAGCTGCTCTGGGCTCTGCTGGATTGGGATGGGTGGGATCATCACTCAGCTGACCCCAGAGGGGAGCCACGCTCTTCTGGGCATCAGGGTGTGCATCTGTCCATCTTCTGATGACTTGGGACTTTCCTGTCCTCTCTGAGTCTTGGGGTGAGAGGGCATGCTTCCTTGGTGGCAGCCCCACTATCACGCCTCCCCTCCCACACAACAGCCGGCAGCAGGAACCCAAGCCAGGGGGCCCCTCACAGCCAGCTCAGCTCCTCACAGCCCACTCAGCTCCTCTCACAGCCCACTCAGCTCCTCTCACAGCCAGCTCAGCTCCTCTCACAGCCCACTCAACTCCTCACAGCCCACTCAGCTCCTCTCACCCACTCAGCTCCTCACAGCCCACTCAGCTCCTCACAGCCCACTCAGCTCCTCTCACAGCCCACTCAGCTCTTCACAGCCCACTCAGCTCCTCACAGCCCACTCAGCTCCTCACAGCCCACTCAGCTCCTCTCACAGCCAGCTCAGCTCCTCTCACAGCCCACTCAACTCCTCACAGCCCACTCAGCTCCTCTCACCCACTCAGCTCCTCACAGCCCACTCAGCTCCTCTCACAGCCAGCTCAGCTCCTCTCACAGCCCACTCAACTCCTCACAGCCCACTCAGCTCCTCTCACCCACTCAGCTCCTCACAGCCCACTCAGCTCCTCACAGCCCACTCAACTCCTCACAGCCCACTCAGCTCCTCTCACCCACTCAGCTCCTCACAGCCCACTCAGCTCCTCACAGCCCACTCAGCTCCTCTCACAGCCAGCTCAGCTCCTCTCACAGCCCACTCAACTCCTCACAGCCCACTCAGCTCCTCTCACCCACTCAGCTCCTCACAGCCCACTCAGCTCCTCACAGCCCACTCAACTCCTCACAGCCCACTCAGCTCCTCTCACCCACTCAGCTCCTCACAGCCCACTCAGCTCCTCACAGCCCACTCAGCTCCTCTCACCCACTCAGCTCCTCACAGCCCACTCAGCTCCCCTCACAGCCCACTCAGCTCCCCTCACAGCCCACTCAGCTCTTCACAGCCCACTCAGCTCCTCACAGCCCACTCAGCTCCTCTCACAGCCTACTCAGCTTCTCTCCCAGGCAGTCCCTCACAGCCCACTCAGCTCCCCTCACAGCCCACTCAGCTCCCCTCACAGCCCACTTAGCTCCCCTCACAGCCCACTCAGCTCCCCTCACAGCCCACTCAGCTCCCCTCACAGCCCACTCAGCTCCCCTCACAGCCCACTCAGCTCTTCACAGCCAGCTCAGCTCCTCTCACAGCCCACTCAGCTCCTCTCCCAGGCAGCCCCCACAGCCCACTCAGTCTTGTCCCTTTGGTGGAAGGGGTCAAGGGTATGTCTCGGATACTGCCTCACTATCTGATCACCCAGAGGGTAGGGGCGACAGCGGCTGCATGTGGAAGACACCAGCACCCCGTCTCCAGTGAATGACAGCTGACAGACCCTGTGTTTTCCAGCAGGCAGGGACGCCCTGCTGGTTGTCAAGGCTCAGTGTTGCTGGCAAAGGGAGACTTGCTTAGATCCGAGCATTGAGCTCTTTGTGCCGGCCTTCTGTTCACTGGGTTCTGCAACCTGAAGTCCCAGCTGGAAGGGTGGGCAGAGACCAGCTGCGCACTCGCCCACCCCCCTGCCCTGCTGGGCCTGGACCTGCCTCTGGGAGGGCCGTGAGCCTGTCTGTCAGTGGGATTTTGCAGCTCTGTGCAGCTCCGCTAGAGGAGTGTGTTCCTAGTACCATCCGATTGTTCTAGTGACCCACACGGACCGAGGCAGCCAGGGCTGAAGGTGGGCAGCGCGGATTGTCACCCTCCCTGGGAGAGAGGCCCACAACAGAACAGTTTACTGGCTGCCTTTGCAGGCCACGATCTCTGGTGTGACCACAGGCTCCACGCCGCCTTCCCGCAGGGCTGGGGGCTCGTTTGCAGATTTCCAGGTCGTCTCTCCTCAGGACTCTCATTTTATCGTTGCTAGGGTTGTTATCCACAGCACCCCCGCAAGACGCGTCTCGGGGCTGGCCTCCCCAGGGCTGGCCAGCAGCTTGCGACTGCCCCGGAGTGCGAGGCGCCTGTCAGCCTTGCCCACATCCACCGGCCGCCGCCTTTCCAGTCTTGTGTGGGACACCCCCAGGACTGCACCCTGGGCGCTGGCCTCACCCCTCCCCGGACCTGCTCGGCGACTTTCTTCAGAGCCCCGGAAGAAATGCGCAGTGAGGTAAGAGATGAGGGGTGTGGCAAGATGCTGAGAAGGCCGCCAGGCTGGGAAGGCTGCACAGAGCGGCCAGGCTGACAGCCCATCCTTCCCCTCCACGCCAGGCCGTCCCTGGGCAAATCCCTTTGGCATTGGCGCCAGGGGCACTGAGTCTCTGTACTTCTCTGGTAGCCAGATCCTGGGAGGGTCCCCTCAGCCCCGCTTTTGGGGGCTCTCTTTCTGCTTCATCTCCTGTCCTTTGTCACAGCACCGGCCACCAAGCCTCCTGCCATGTCCCCAGTAGTGTAACGTGCTGTCCTGCCCAGTCCTGGCAGAGCTTCCTGCTCTCGCCACACCCAGGCCACTCTTGGCCTTTCTAGAAAAGCTGTACAGGAAGTTGTCACTGCTCTGGCCAGTTGGGTGACCACCACAGCTGACAGGACCTCTGCCAGAAGCTAGAGTGTCCTATCCACTGCCTGGAGCTACAGCTTCCAGAAAGATTGATGGAGTCCAGCTGGAAAGGCCAGGTGATGACCACTCCCCTGCTGCCAAGAGCCCCTCAGGACTGTGGAGGGCGGACGGCGTCCGGTGGTCCCTACATACCGGTGGTCACAGTTGCATGGAACACAGCTGGCTCCTCGGTTGCACTGTCCACACATGACGCACTCAGTGCCACCTGTGGGCAAGGGGCAGCCTCCCTGCACAGGTCGGATGGGACATCCCATCCCCGGCGGAGGTCCTGTGGGCTGCACTGGCAGCCCAGCTCCTGATTGAGTGGGAACCCTGGCCGGAGTGGTGACAGCTTCTTGCTCCTTGTCAGGTGTGCCAACCACAGACGGGAGGCCTGCAGGTCCCCAGCCCTTTCCCCAAGGCAGTGAGAGAGACAGAGGAGAAAGCAGAGGTTAGACACACTGCCTGCCATTCTCTGACGGTCATTTCCTCAGACACAGGTTCCCTAAAAAAAGACGTCACCATGCAGGAGGCTGGTGCAGGCAGTGCATGGCTGGAGGCCCGCAAAGCCAGGCCACTGGACACAGGGACTCCCTGCCTGGGCTGTGGCCAGGACCCGGGAATGGCACTGGGCAGCATCTTGGAGAAGGCCCCTTCCAAGCTTCTCTCTCCTCTGCAGGAAGGAGCCGACAGGGGAGAACAGTAGGGCCGAGTCCAAGCCTGCAGCGTGGTCGCCAGAGGATGACGGCTCCTGTCCCCCGGCTGTGCCTCAGGCACTCACCTTTTCTCCAGAACGAAGTGAGCTGACTTCCCCAAAATGTACTGGCCCAGAAGCTCTGGAAGAAGCCAAGCCCAGTGTGGATGCAGCCCCTGGCGAGGTAGGCCATCTGCTGACATGAGCCCCACTGGTGCATGGCCTTTACAGCAGACAGTGCAACCCTGGCCCACCCCCCGTCATCCCAGGGCAGTGTCCAAGGGCAGGGGCCAGCACAGAGAGCTTCCTCCTGCCCAGGGCACACACAGGCCTCACTGGGTTTTGAAAATGCACCCACTGAGGACATAAGCTGGGCACTGCCTGCCTGAGACACCTAGATAAAGGCATTATGTCTCCATCCTGTGTGATGTGTCCGTCTGTGCTGAGTCCTCTCCCTGTGCTGTGTCCCCTCCCTGTGCTGTGTCCCCTCCCCGCAGTGAGCCTCCATCCGTGCTAGTCCCTTCCTTGCACTGTGTTCAACAGGCTCTCCTTGTGGACCTTGGGCTGGCCCAGCTCAGCCTCACGGCAGCAGCAGACAGCAAGTCCCCTGCTGACCTCCCGCTCATCGACTTCTGCAGCTCTCCAGAAGTGAATGTGGTTCAGGGTTCTGAGAGCCGACCCCTGATGGACCTCATGACAAACACCCCAGATCCGAGTCGGAGTGTCGTGCCTAAGCCAGCACAGGTGGTAGGGCAGGTGAGGAGCAGCCGGCCCAGGGCACATCAGTGACTCTGAGCAGGGCCTGGCCTTTCCACAGGTCCCCATCAGCTACCGGGGTCCCCATCAGCTACCGGGGTCCCTGTCGCCTTGGATGTGCGATGCAGCAGACATGCTGGGTGACTGCGCCCGTCCACAGGAGCCCTGTCCTGCGGTCACATCTCGCCTACACATACCTGCTTAACCCAGCTCTCCCATGTGGCTCTGTCTGGCCTTCACCTGCTGCTCATTCTCTTGCAGCTCATCGACCTGAGCTCTCCGCTCATCCAGCTGAGCCCCGCTGTGGACAAGGAGAACGTGGACTCGCCGCTGCTCAAGTTCTGAGTTGAGTGGGGCTCCTCGCCGCTCGCTCTTTGCTCTAAGAAATTTCCTCAAGTGATTTTCATCCCATGGGAACACAATTTAGAAGGAACTGAATAAAAAAGGTTGTGCTTCCCAAGCCCAGAGAGGGTGGGCAGGACAGTGGCAGTCAGGGCTGACTGGGGGACCCCATTCCCAGCAGCACCCCGTGCCATTTCACCCCATGGTGACTGGGGGACCCCACTCCCAGCGGCACCCCGTGCCGTTTTACCCCATGGTGACTGGGGGACCACACTCCCAGTAGCATCCTGTGCCGTTTCACCCCCATGGCTCTGAATTAGGGATTCTGTTTGGAATCTTTTGTGTATAAAATAGAATAGCTATTTTTAAAGTTAAATTATGAAATAAATAGAAGCGTACTAAAGCTGTCTCATCCCTCCAGGCCATATGCGAGACTTGCATTAGCCAGAGTTTGTGACAGTGGTTTCTAAGTTGGGGCTGACATCCAGGTCCCGGGTCCCAGGCAGCCGTGGGCACCTGTACTGTCCGTGCGTGCCCAGGCAGTTCCTATGCCATGGGGCCCCAGAGGAAGAGAGCTGGGTGAGGAGCTGTATGTCAGGCTGGGCTCTCAGCATGAAGGGGCAGAGCTGGGTGAGGAGCTGTATGTCAGGCTGGGCTCTCAGCATGAAGGGGCACCTGGAAGCTTGCTCCCCATCTGAGGGCCCTAGTGGGCACACACACCTCATTCTAGGAGTTGCTGTCTGCCCAGCAGACAGGAGAACCACCAGCATGCCCCCTTTCTTGTTCAGATCCTCCCTCTGTCCGCAGAGTTGAGAGAAGCTGGGTGGTGTGGTTAGTGTGCTGGACCACAGTGAGCCGCAACAGCAAGGCAGGCCGCTGCCCTCCAGAACCCCCGGGATTGGCTGGGGAGGGGCCTCTGGGTCAGCCCCCGCTTCATGGCGACAGCCAGAGTCTGGACTGAACTCGGCTAGGCATCTCTCCCTTCTGGGGCTTAATGCTCTCAGCCACACAGGCTCGCGCTTGGACCAAGATGCGGCTGGGCAGGACTGAAGCATCCTGGGAGTGGGCTCTCCACAAGCCCTGGCCTTTGCATCGTGATTGGTCCATGTGGCTGTGGGCTGGGGTACTACTGGGCTCAGCTGGCTCCCAGACCTCAGGTTTGCCTCACCTCTTGGACTTGCATGAGCTAGGACAGAAGAACTTGTGGAACTTTCTGGAATGGAAAGAACTGCCCTGGCTCTGCCAGGCTGATGCCTTCCCAGATTCGGGCGGTTCAGCTTCTGCGAGTTCACCTACACCACAGTTGTGCCATCTTAGGTGGCCGTTGGCAGGCAGCACTGGGATGCTGCTGTCCTGGCCACAGCTGGTCCAGCTGGGCGTGGGGAAGATGCAGAGTGGGCTCTTGCAGCTCCAAGTCCATGGATCTGAGATTGCCAAGATATACACTGTAAACAGGCCATTCCTCAGCACACCTGCATCCAAGGTCTTCCAGCATAACCTGCCTTTTAGGACTGCCACCCTAGGAAGGGGTGCGGGCCTCTGGGCAGACCCAGAAAACCCCATGGTGTGAGCAGGGCCAGGGCTTTGTCACAGATCTGCCCCAGGCAGGGGTGTGGGGCTCCGGCTTCTTGACCTCTTCTGGGAAACGCTGGGGAACTGCAAGATCTGTTGAACACGGCCCTGACACTTCTCAGAATGCAGTGGTCCTGTGGCCCCTAGTGCCCGGGGCCTCAGCTGCCTCTGCTGTCTCCAGTGAGATTCCCTCACAGCTTTTTCAACCATAGCTTGAGTTTGGTTTGTGCAGGCAGTTAAAAAACAACGACGTGCCGGAGTCCAGCTTCAGCCGAGTTCGGAGCTCGGGAAAGGTGCGTGGAGTCGGCGATAAAGACACAGATACTGTCATTTGGTGCCCCTCACTACAGCTCAAGAAGAAGCTGTCCTTTTTATTTACTCAGACACCTTACAAGCCTCTACACAAACTAATTATTCTATTTTTACTTCAAGACTAAGGGGGCACGTACAGACATTTGGTCACTCCGTCTGCACTTCAAGGCTAAGCAGGTGCCCCTAAAGATAATTCTGCAAAATACTGTATTCATATTCTTCAAAGCAAGACATTACTCATTCTTCAACAGTAGCCATGGAGCGACAGCCAGGACTCCAAGGCCAAGGACATGCGATTACCTGCTAATCAGTAGTACATTCCTACCACATGTCTATTTCTACAATTTACCCATGGGAAAAATAGATTACAAGGGAAAAAATGTGAAATCTAGAAAGTTTTAAATGTTAAATCCCCCTACAACTATAGACTCTAGAACCCCACAAACAACAATAATTAAAAGCATATTTCCTTAAGAAAAGCATCCTTAATTCCTCTAGCTAAAAATTATAAAAGCAGCTAAAAGTTACATTTTCTATGCTCCAAAAATTTGCAAAGACAAGCTAGCCTTTGAGATAACGATAACTATTTATTGCCATAGCAGTTTCAGCTCTCACTCCCATCACTTGCATTAATATTTAGGATATTTATCAAGCCCCTTCCCAGAATGTGCGCTACATGTCTGGGCCAGATTCTGAGGCAATGGTTAAGTACCCAATAAGGTGTCCAAAAATGCCACGGGCTTAATTGTGCTCCTGTGAGTAAACTGTCAAAAGGCCCACTCACCAAGACATTATCCGTGACATTAACTCTCAAGCTCACAGTAGTTGCCAAAGCCATCTCACAGGGGCAAACAATGCCTCAATAGATTACAGGATTCTTAGTGGGGTGCTTGAGTGCAAACGGGGGCGTGGAACAGCGTCAAGGTGGTCAGAGAGAAATCTGCCAAGCCCTGCCATCTGCCAAGCCCTGCCAAACGGGAGCTGTTCTCTTGACACTCTCGGGGTCATCCACACCTGTTGCACGGAGCCCAGCAACGAAGGACAAGTCAGATGGCACATTCAAGGGTAGAAACCACTGCACACGTGTTATTTATACTTGAAATGTGTTTAAGCCAACTCGGTCTCACTGACTCACTCCCCAGTCACACAGCCCAGGCCTGGGTGGTGCTGAGCACCTCATCTCGGCATCCTGCGGATGGCAGGGAGCCTGTGGCTGGAGCCACCACGGCTGCCTCCCAGGGCACACTAATGGAGCCGGAGCTGGAAGCCAGACGCCCCAAGGTGGGCCATATGCCCATTTGCCATGCTGCTCACGTGGTGTGTGTGCTGCCTGGCCCTAAACTCCACACACCCCCTGTGACCCCCACGACTGCCCAGCACACCTGGGGCTGGGGGTGGCTTGCCCTCTAGTTGCCAGCTCAAAGGATGCGCTTCAGGCCCAGGAGCTCCTGGGGTGAACGCTGCCATGGGGCTCAGATGGTTCCAGGCACTCACTGTGGGAATGCTCCTGCTGCAAGTGCCTGTCAGGAGAACCCAGGCACCTGTGCCTCCTCAAGGGACGTCCCGCGGGCAAATATCAGGTCTCCGTCCCTCTCTTACCCAGGGGCTTCTGAGTCCACCCTGCACTGGGTCTTCTTCGCATCACGTCCCCAGGAGGCTCCCTGTCCCTCCCTCATCTCCCAAACCTCAGACCACAGTGTAGCCCGGCGCCCACCCTCTGGGGGGAATACGACTCCAAGAACCTCGGTTCTTCCCTTCCTCCCCTGACACAACGCATTCAGGAGGCCCAGCAGCGAAGACAGAGGTCAGCAGGTGCAGCTGACAGTGCCTGACATAAGGGTTGCAAGCAGAGAAAGGTCCGGTAGGGAAACACTTCCGGGAGAGGAGGGCCTCGGAGCAAAGCCAGTGCCTCGCAGCGTCTCCGTCTTTTTCGGGGGAAGAGGGGTCCCCGTGATCAGGAGGAACCGCAGCTGCTTCCTGACTTGCGCCGGCCAGGTGGTGCACACCTCCTCGCGAGGGAAAGACAAATCCCCTGGGAGCGCAAGTAGCTGCCCGCGGAACGCAGCGCTCCAGGACGCGCTTCCCACCGGACCCCAAGGGCGAACGGCACCTCGGGGCGGAAGTAGCGGCCGCAGCGGTGGTAGGCCCTTGGCGGCCCGATGCAGGCGACGCGGCACGTCGTGTGTGCCTTGTCGGGCGGCGTGGACAGCGCGGTGGCGGCGCTGCTGCTGAAGCGGAGAGGTGAGGCGGCCGGGCCTGTGCGGCGAGCGGCTGGCAGCCCCTCACGCCCCGCTTGGCGCTTGCGGGGAACCGTGGTCCCCGGCTCCGGGATGGGGTGAGGGTCTGCACTCGGTGCGGGGGACCCCTTAGCTGGAGGGGCAGGCGTGGTAGAACGAGCCCGCACACAGGTGACGTGAGGAGGGGGCGATCAGGGAGAAAGGCCGGCAGCTGGAGGGTTGGGGTCTCCCTCAGCAGAGCCCTGGGACGGACGGCCGGGTGTTTGGGGCCTGCGGGAGAGGAGGTGGCAGCAAACCGTTCCCCTCTGCCTGGCGCTGGACGACCCTCGTGGGTGGAAGTGAGGTCCCCGGGTCGGCGTGCTGGGCACCGCCTGCCCCGCTGGCATCCCATGCGCGTGGGCGCGCTCTCCCTGAGCGACCCTGGAGGATGACAGATCTTGGCCCCGGCCTGTGGACATGGCAGCCCTTTGGGGAGTGAGCCGGCAGCTGTAGAGTGTGCATGTGTCTGACCACTGGAGCCCCTGGAGCAAGCCTCAGCAGTTCGGTGGAGTTGGGGGTGAAGCCGGGAGTGACACAGCGTGAGGCTGCTCCTGCTGGTGTTTTTGGCTGCCCCTGCCACGTGCTGGGCACCACAAACCCTGTCCTTGCTCCTTGCGCCCCTAGGAGGTGGGCGGGAGGGTGGGGACGTGGCTGGAAGCCGTGGCCAGCACTCTCTGCCCTGGATCCTGCCAAGGGCCTCATCTCCACAGCCAGCCTCCCAAGGTGCTGGGAGGCCAATAGCGTCACAGCAGCCATGGGGGAAGGTGGGTCGCAGCTCAGCTCAGACTGGAACCTCCCCTGGCGATTTAGAATGTCTGCATCTCCGTGGGTGGCTGGAGGTGACGCCTGACAGTGCGTGGTGGTTTTTCTTGGCTTGGCAAAGTGTCCACTCGGGCCATTCTTTGCTCAGCACGCATTTGCTCAGTCTCACCCCAGGCTAGGACTGTGCTGATGTGTGGACAGGGACACAAAGACAAGGGCTTGCCAGCTCGCTCATCCTGAGGACCCGGGGGCGGGGTGGTGGGGGAGGCCTTGGAAGGCTTGGCCGAACGTGGGGCCTGGGCTCCCCTTGTCCTCAAGGTGGGGGCGTGGCCTGCGCGTCCTGACCTCTCCGTCCAGGCTGAGTTGCGTGCCACCCTTAACTGAGCACCTTGCCTCGCCAGGGTACCAGGTGACAGGCGTGTTCATGAAGAACTGGGACCTGCTGGACGAGCATGGCGTCTGCACCGCGGACAGGGACTGTGAAGACGCCTACAGGGTCTGTCAGATCCTGGACATCCCCTTCCACCAGGTCTCCTACGTGAAGGAGTACTGGAATGACGTGTTCAGGTGAGCCTGTGGGAGCCTCGTCCTTCAGAGCTCGGCCGTGGCCTTGGTCTCTGCGGCAAGTGTCGGGTGCTGCTCTGGAGCAGCAGAGCAGGGTGCGGAGGGAGTGGCAGGTGAGGCCGGGACCCCGTTGGGACCTCCGAGCAAAGGGTCAGATGACGGTCGCACTCCAAATGCACTCAGCGTGGTTTTACACATACATCTTGAAGATTTCGTTGAGAGGCAACGTGAGAAATTTTTTAATATCTGCCACAGCCAGGTCTAGGCCAGACCCAAGCCAGAAGCCAGGAGCTCCATTCTGGCCTCCACTCAGGTGGCAGGGGCCCAGGGACTTGGGCGTCACCCACTGCCTCCCCAGGAGCCTGGGCAGGAGGCTGGGTGGGAGGCGGAGTGGCTGCTGCGTGAGCTGGCACTCCATCCAGGGTGCTGGAGTCACAAGTGGGGACTAACTGGCCGTGCCGTGGTGCCGACCCCAGCACCCACTGTCATGCTCCTGACGTCGGTAGCACCTCCCCCTGGCGTGAGTGACAGTGATGCCAAGCTTCTCTGACGCAGCAGCCTTCTGCCTCTGCCGGTTAGGGTGGCCTGAGCATCCCGGGAGGCTGCCGGGCCTCGGGAGGGTGTGTTGGTCACGTTGGCACAGTCCTGGCTGTTTGCCTGGTGCCCTCGCTCTCAGGCTGATTGTGCAGTAGCGGAGAGAGCCTCACTGTCCCGCTCTGGGGTTCTACTTCCTGTGACCTGTTGCTGGCCTTCCTGGGCCGGGAAGGCGGGGGTTCTCAGGGCAGTCCTCCCAGCCCTGCCTTGTCCATCCCCCCAGTGGCCCTGTGAGCCTGGTGGGGGCACGTGACCACAGCAGCTGGGAAGAATGCCGGAACATGTCCCGCCGTGTACTGGTGGTTGTGATGCATCGGCAGGCTGGCTAACTGCTGGGCATGCCTGACGCCGGAGCTCTCCTGTCCTGCAGACGCGGTAGCCTTGGTGCGTGGGAGCTGTTCACACACTTGAGAGTGAATAAAGCTCTCTTTGCAGTGATTTTTTGAGCGAGTATGAAAAAGGAAGGACTCCGAACCCGGACATAATCTGCAACAAGCACATCAAGTTCAGCTGCTTCTTGAACTACGCAACGGACAATCTGGGTAGGCGGTGGGAGTTGTTTCTGTTTAAAGATTGATTTATTTTGGGCCAGTGCAGGCCCTCGATCGCATGTGCCTGCCAGCTCGCTCTCTGTCAGCCTCTGCAGGAGCCAGGAAAGCATGCAGGGGGCAGAGCAGAGGTGGACAAGATTGGTTCCTGGATGTGGGGAATGTACAGCAAGAACACAGATAGGAGGGGAGCTGCTGGGGGGCCGTGCTGCCAGCCAGCCCGTCATGGGGATGGGTGAGTGTATGTGTGTAACTGCCAGCTTCAATCTCTATCAGTGTGTGTGTGTGTGTGTCAGAGAGAGTGTGTGAGTGTGTGTCAGAGAGAGTGTGTGTGAGTGCGTGTATGTGTGTGAGAGAGTATGTGTATGTGAGTGAGTGTGTGTGTGAGTGAGTGTGTGTGTGCGTGTGTGCGCATTGGGGGTGCTTCCTGGGCTGTTAGCTTGTCTGCAGTCACCCTGAGGTCACGTATCCCAGGTCATCCTGCGTCAGCGTGCAGAGACCAGCCCTGGTTCCTCCTGACGTCCCTCCCTAGGGGACCGTGGTCCTGCCTCTGCTCCCCCAGCCTGTTCTGCACTCCTGCCTGACACAAGGAGCTCATCGAGAACTTTCCTCTGTCTGTGGACAGAGAGACAGCTGGCCAAGTCTGTGCTTGAGGCTGTGATGACCCTGTGGCTGACATGACCTGCCTGCAGTGTGTCCGCGGTCCAGCACCCCAGAGCTCCTGTGGATTTCATTTGCACGGCTCTGGGATGGGAAAGGAAAGGAGGAGGGGGAGAGAAAGAAAAGAAGGAAAGGGAAGGGAAAGCAAGGAAAAGAAAGAAAGAAAATGAATGAATGAATGAATCAACTGTGCAGGCCCAAGTGGGGAGGCCGTGACTGGGCTGCAGGGTGCATGGGCCTACTGATTGAGCTGCCCTCACAGTGCCCAAGCCAGAGCCCAAGCCCCAAGTCAGGGGCAGCACGGCCAAGTCCGCCCCTACGGCAGGTCTCCCCTGCCACCTGAGCGACCCTCGGGAGGAGAGCAGAGTCCATTGCATGGACAGCACGGAGCAGTTGGCCGAGGGCTCCAACTGCACGTTCCACACTGCTGGCGTCAAGGAATGTTCTTTGAAGCTGGGTGGATTCAGGTGCTCACCCAGGCACGAGTCAAAGGGGAAAGGCATCCAGCTCCTCTGTGTGTGTCCCCCCGGCTCTGCCTTCTCCCTAGGGTCCCGTCCCCACCCTCCCCGGCTCTGCCTTCTCCCCTAGGGTCCCGTCCCCTGTGGCTCCTCCTTCCTCCTCAGAGTCCCGTCCCCCTGGCTCTGCAGGTTGGCAGGGGAATGCCCACACATGGCCATGTGAGAGAGGAGAGTCTGGCTAGTCCCTTGATTCTGCGGGGGTGCCATAGGCCCTGCCGCTCTTTTCGGTGCTCGGTGGAGCTCAACCTGCCTTCAGTATGCACGCCTGACTTCATCGCTTGCGAGGACACCCGGCGGACTGGATTTCTCCTGTATACTTGAAGTGAAAGTCCACAGGTCCAGACACCACAAGCTCAAAGTCAGCTTTCTGTGACAGAATGGACATTGCAGAAGGAGCTCAAATGTGACAGACACTCCTGTGCATCTGACATGGCCACAGCTCATACATGAGAGAAGGCTCAGACAGGATGAAGCACCTGAGAACAAACCCCAAGGGAGAAGGCAGAGCCGGGGGACGGGACCCTGGGGGAGAAGGCAGAGCCGGGGACGGGACCCTAGTGGAGAAGGCAGAGCCAGGGAGGGTGGGGACGGGACCCTGGGGGAGAAGGCAGAACCGGGGGACGGGACCCTGGGGGAGAAGGCAGAGCCGGGGGACGGGACCCTGGGGCTCCTGGGTGTGCTTCTTGGGTGCCGCTCTCGTGGTGACCGTGTGAGTCAGTCTCTCCTCATGGTGAATGTCGTGGTGGTTTTCAATTTTTCTTAGTAATATCAAAAAGTCAGTGAGTGGTGAGGCCCCGGCTTGGAATGCAACAAAGCTTCATGGCAGGATAGCCGTGAAGACGCCCACGTCCCTGCCTGGACTCCTGGGCTCTCATCCTGGCTGGGCTGCTGCTTCCAGCGTTCCACGGATGCATGCGCTGGCTCCCGTGCTTGGCTCCCTGCCGCCAGGAAACCTGGGCCCCGTTGCCGGCTCCTGACCTTCGGACATTTTGAGGATGGACCAGCTGATGGGAGCACTCCTGCCTTGTGGCTCAGTTTATGACTCAGAAATATAATTGCCTCCACAAGCTTCGCAGTGAGGTGATGCAGGCCGTGTTAGCTGATGTTCAAAGTGCCCGGCTTAGCTCAGCAAGACCTCCATGCCCGGGGGTCGTGCCCTCTGAGATGGTGGACTGTCCGCGAGTGGCGTGGGGTCTCTGCTTCTCCTGCACCCTTGTCCCCTGACCAAACCAGTGAGACGGATCTGACGTGACATTTGTGTTACAAACACCTCACAGGTGCAGACGCCATAGCCACAGGCCACTACGCCAGAACCTCGCTGGAGGATGAGGACGTCTTTCAGCAGAAGCACATCAAGAGGCCAGAAGGACTTTTCAGAAATCGATTTGAAGTCAGAAACCGTAAGTGCAAGTCCCCAGACCAGAGCTCAGCTCTTCATCAGAGAAGTAAGGTGTTCTGAAAACGGCCGTGGCCTGGCTCGGGGGCCTGCTGACCCCGCCGTGTGCTGGGAGCTTGCGCGTGGGTGGGGGTCTCGCTTGGAAAGACACAGGTTCCAAAACGTCAGATTCCTGAGGGTTTAGGATGGGGCAATAGGAAATGTCTTGGTCAGCTGAACAAGGCGCAGCAGCCCAGAAGTAAAGAAACTGTTAGTGCTTGCCTACTGCACGAGTGTGTAGGGCACATTTGATGGTTGTGCTGAAGAGCTGTCATTAGCCATGGCTGATCACATGGCCTCAGGGGTGGAGTGTGGTGAGACTGGAGGTCAGTGTGTGAGTGCTCACCGGGTGGAGTGGTCAAGCCTGCTGGTCAGCCTGTGTCTGCGCAGTTGGGTCACATGGTGTAGTTTTCTGAGTGGCCATGTCTTTTGTGCACAGGGTCTTCGAATGTGTGTCTGGCACACTAGAACTCGGTGTTGTTTTTTAAGTGCCCAGGCCCAGCTGCCCTCTGTCCTCCCTCGGGGGTCAGTGCCCCCGCCTGGCTGAGCTCACACGATCCACAGGGACCAGGGCAGAGAAGGTGTTGCAGGCAGCCCCCCGTGGTGCTTCCTTGTAGTTTCTGGGAGGTGGTCAACTCTTCATAATCAAAGATGTTTGTTCTAGAATAACTCTAGGCAACAATGCAAGCAGTTGTATTCTGAGGTCGTTAGGCTCACAAACACTGCTTGAAGATCGACTTACTTGAGAGACAGAGAGAGCTGCCAGGCCTGGCCCGCCCTGCGTGCATCACAGCGATGGGGACGTGAGACTCAGTCCCCTTCTCCCTTGGGTGGCGGGGACCCAGCCTTTCAGGCCACCAGCTGCTGCCTGAGCAGAGAGCTCTACACCCCTCAAGGGGCCAGGGTGTCTGAACAGCAGGCCCCGCACCCACCCCACCCCGCAGAGCCTTTGCTGGCTTATGTATTAGTTGAAAGTTTGATCTGAAAGGCAGAGATGTTTGGTATTTTCCATGCCTCTTCTATGTTTCTGTGGAATGTTCCATTTTTGAAAGTACCCTGTGGTAGTCTGGAGCGTCAGCTTGTGTTTACTGTAGCCAGACTCAGGGTCACGGTCTTGCTTCCCCTGTGGTTGGGTGCACCACGGCCCGTGTGCCGGGGGATAGGGACGGAGGGACGGGGAGCAGCCCTCGGGGCTGGGCACCCTGGCCCGGCCCTACAGCCTGTTTTGCTCTCCCTCTTGGCAGCGGTGAAGCTCCTGCAGGCCGCCGACAGCTTTAAAGACCAGACCTTCTTTCTCAGCCAGGTCTCCCAGCCTGCCCTGAGGAGAACCATCTTCCCCCTGGCGGGGCTCACCAAGCCATTCGTCAAGAAGATTGCCGCCGAAAACCAGCTTCATCACGTGCTGCACAAGAAGGAGGTACCATGAGCATGAGCGTGTGTCTGCTGGGCTCCCGCATGTGTGCCCCCTGTATGCCAAGTGCCAGGCCTCAGCCTGCCCGGGCTCCCACGTGTGTGCCCCCTGTATGCCAGGTGCCAGGCCTCAGCCTGCCCGGGCTCCCGCGTGTGTGAAGCAGCCCAGCTCCCATGTGCCAAGTGCCAGGGCTCGGCCTAACCGGGCTCCTGTGTGCCGGGTACCAGGGCTCAGCCTGCCGGGAGTGGAGCCCTGCACCCTCTGCCCTTCCCCCCAGTCACCAGCCCTGCACCCCCAGGGCCTTCTAGGGCCTGCCTGTGCAGCTTATTGGGGTACAGAGCCCTGGCCACTGAGGGAAGGGGTCCCTAAGCCTGCAGCCGCTTCCTCAGATCTCGTCCTGGGATGGGCATGGCTGGGCCCTTGGTCAGCAAGTCACTGTGCCCGAGGAGCTCCCCTCTGCAGTGCCCAGGTGGTTGTGCCAGGTGAGAAGCCGCCACGACCACGGGGCTGAGTGCCCACAGGCAGGGAACACATGAGGGCTGAAAGAGGGGTCTCCTTCCCATCCTGTCCCCTGGGGCTGGGGAGGGACCAGTCTGAGAGGCGATCCTCATCCCTGACCCCCCCACACTGGTCTCCTCATGCCATGGCCGTGTCCGGCACTTGCCCGGCGCTTGTCCACACTCCTGCTTGTGGTCAGGCCAGGGCATGGGCAGGATCAGTTTGTCTGCTGGGGTCAGGCCCTGCGGGGTGTGTGATGCCATGGTGATGCGTGCGTGGGCCGGAGGGAGGCCACGGCTGCCCGTGCCCTCACCATGGCTGTGCGTGGGTCGGAGGGAGGACAAGATGCCTGCCGCCCTCACCACGGCTGTGCGTGGGTCGGAGGGAGGCCAAGATGCCCACCGCCCTCACCACGGCTGTGCGTGGGTCGGAGGGAGGCCGAGGCTGCCCGCCGCCCTCACCATGGCTGTGCGTGGGTTGGGGGAGAGGACCGTGAGTGGTCTGCTTGTGGTGCAGAGGGAGGCCGAGGCTGCCCGCCGCCCTCACCACGGCTGTCTCATTGCAGAGCATGGGCATCTGCTTCGTGGGCAAGAGGAACTTCGAGTCTTTCATCCTGCAGGTGAGTGCTGTGGCCGCCAGGGGGCGGCTAGCTCCGCCCCAGCGCTTCTCGCCTGTCACGCGTGTCTGTGTTCCAGTACCTGCAGCCGCGGCCGGGCAAGTTCGTCTCCATAGAAGACAATAAGGTCCTGGGCACACATAAAGGTGAGCTGTGGCCCTTTCTGCTTTCCCCCAAACTCCTTGTGTGGGGCCACGTGCCTCACGGGAAGCTGCAGGGCAGACGGGCGCTCAGCTTGCAGGAGCGTGGGATGGTCATCGGAGGAGGCCTCTGCCTGGTGGGGTGGTCTCTCTCTCTCTCTCTCTCTTTTTTTTTTTTTTTGCTAAGTTCTTTTTAAACACTGTTTTTTTTTATTTTTTTATTTTTTAATTTTTGTAAGAATTAGTTATTTTTATTGCAAAGTCAGGTACATATAGAAAGGAGGAGTCACGGAGAGAAATATCTTCCATCCAATGATTCACTCCCCAAGTGACCACAACAGCTGCTGCTGTGCCGATCCAAAGCCTGGAGCCAGAAACTCTTCTGGGTCTCCCACATGGGTGCGGGTCCCAAGGCTTTGGGCCATCCTTGACTGCTTTCCCAGGCCACAAGCAGGGAGCTGGATGGGAAGTGGGGCTGCCAGGATTAGAACCGGCGCCCATATGGGATCCCGGCACATTCAAGGCAAGGACTTTAGCCACTAGGCCATGGCACTGGGCCCTGTTTTATTTATTCTGAGAAGCAGAAACTTATCCACTGGTTCACTCCTCAAGTGCTGCTGGAACTCGTCCACTTGCCCCGCGTGGACAGCAGGAACCTGAGGGACCTAGGTGCTGGGACCGCCGCCTGCCGCCTCCCGGGCCCCTGAACGGGAAACTGGAGTTTGAGGCAGCGTTGGGAGTGGACGTGTGCCCTGTGGTCGGAGCGCAGGCAGCCCTTGGGCAGCGTACTGCCGTGCCCAGGCCTGGCCTCGTGCTGTGGTCTCGGCCTGGAGCCCATCAGGAGCGTGCCCTCCGATTCAGGATGGCCACTGTGGCTTGCGTGTCAGGTCCCTGCGAACAAGGTTTTCTCACTGTGGAGAGACCTTGCATCCCGGCAGAGCCTGCTGAGCCCCGGGTGGACACCCAGTGAACGTGGCCGGTTGGGCGGCGTGCAGATGGCACAGGGTGGTCCTTGGGGGCGGGACTGCTGCGTCTTATTGTCTACTGCTTGCTCCCGCGCAGACGGGCAGAAGGAAGATGGGGCAGTTGTAGACCCAAGAGCTCAGCCCCCGAGGACCGTGTGGCCTTCAGTGGCAGGGTGACTGCAGAGGCAGGCTGCCCTGGGCAGCTGGGCAGCAGGAGGGCCGTGTCCACTCCGCTGTCCGTCCCGTCACGTTTTCTGCCTGCACACATCCATCGGGCGGGGAGACGACGGGCCTCTCTGCTCTGCTGTGAGCAGGCGGGTTGGGGACACAAGGCAGTCAGATTCGATGCAGCAAGGCAAGGGAGGCACAGCACAGATACTGCGGGCTCAGAGCTGGCCTTCCAGAGGCGCTGCTGCGCCCCATGCCACGAGGCCCCCTCCCAGAGGGGCACTCTGTCACTCTCCCCCAGCCCCTCAGGCCTGGGTAGTGGCAGGATATGTTGGGTACTTGGTCCAGGCCAGCTCGGGCGGTGGGGCACCTTGGTGGGCCCTGCCCTTGCCTGCTGGCCTCCAGCCCCCTCCCTTCAGGAGAGGCGGGTGTCCAGGTGGAACTCGGTCCCTGCAGCTCACACAGTCTTTCTCCAGGTTGGTTCCTGTACACCCTGGGCCAGAGAGCCAAGATAAGTGGCTTACGGGAACCCTGGTTTGTAGTGGACAAGGACGGGGCCAAGGGTGATGTGTTTGTGGTGAGTTGGGGTCAGGGCTGGGCTGAGGGGGCCCCCAAGCCTGCCCCTCTGTGGCCCAGGGGACAGAAGACATTTCCCAGTCTCTTGCTGTTTGTGGGTCACTCTGAATGGTCACCTGAGTCCTTGTAAATACACACTATTTCTCTGTGTTTTCTGGAACACAGGGCAGATGCAAGTGGGCAGTTGGTGCCCAGAACCCTGGAAGTCCCTCTGAGACTGGAGTGGGGCTGCCCACCCCCACACTCCCAAGCAGGCTTCTCCAAGAGGTCATGAGCAGCCTGGACACATCCTTTGGTGGGGTGGAGCCATGGGGGTGCCAAAGGCCGTGCAGGGTTGCTGGGATGGGCACCTCCATGTGCTGGGCTGCTGTCCAGCTGGCACAGGTGCTGGCCCTGTCTCAGACTAGGCTGGGAGCCACTGCCCCCCACCCCTTATCCCTCATCCTCAGCCGACACTTCTAGAAGTGTTGAGCTCCGAGAGCCCTGCCTCTTGGGACTGCTGTGTGTGTCCACTATCAGGGACAGAGGCTACAGCTGACTCAAGGGTGCCTCTCCTGAGGCCCACAGAGGGGGCCCACTGAGTGGCTGGTGGCCTGTCTGCTGCCCAGAGGGATTCCTGGGGTGGCCCCTTTGAGAGACGGCCAGCAGCATGGCAGCCCCAGGTGTCTCCCGAGCCCGTTTCCTCAGCTGCAGGACAGGGTGAGAGGATCAGGAGACAGGTGCGGGTGGAGGCCCTCTCCTCAGTGCCGCAGGGTGTCAGGACAGCCTGTTGTGCCCACAGGCCCCCCGGACAGACCACCCGGCCCTGTACCGGGAGCTGCTGCGTACCAACCGCGTGCACTGGATCGCTGAGGAACCGCCTGCTGCCCTGGTCCGGGACAAGATGATGGAGTGCCACTTCCGCTTCCGCCACCAGATGGCGCTAGGTAATTGGGCAGCAGGAAGGCTGGGGAGAGGTTGTCCCTCGTCTTCAGGTCCGACGTGGGAGGAGCTCGGGAGGCCAGCCATGGGGTGGGCGGTAGGCATGCCTAGGTATGTGCCATCTGCTGGCTCTGGGCAGGGAGTTGTGCCCACGGCTGCTGCTCCTCCCCTGTGGGACTGACTGGTGAGGCCTCTCTCCCCCAGTGCCCTGTGTGCTGACCCTCAATCAAGATGGCACTGTGTGGGTGACTGCTGTGAAGGCTGTGCGGGCGCTCACCCCAGGGCAGGTGAGTGGGGCCGGGTGCGGGGCTCCTGCGCTGCTGACTGAGAGCTGAAGCCTGTGTCCCTCTGTCTGCAGTGCCCATCTCAACCTCAGGCCAGCACCCTTGGGCCCTGCCAGTCGACAGGTGCCAACATCCCCAACCCGGGCACTCTCTCCTTCACAGTTTGCCGTGTTCTACAAAGGGGACGAATGCCTGGGCAGTGGGAAGATCCTGCGCCTGGGGCCATCTGCCTACACACTGCAGAAAGGCCAGAGTAGGGCCCGGGTGGCCCCCGAGGTCTCCAGTGCCAACCCGGTGGAGGGTCCAGGCCTGAATCCCACGCCCTGACACAGGCTGAGCCGCGGGAAGCTGGACAAGGAGAGCAGAGCCCAGGCCGGTCAGTCATGGAGGCCTTAGGTGCTGCTGCAGGCACCAGGTGAGCAAGGCTTCCTAGCTCTCCAGCGGCTGCAGGTCTGGTCTGGCCGACCAGTGGGCCGCCCCAGGGCCCGGTGTGTACCTTCTTCCATCTGCCCAGGGACGGCTTCCCTCCGCGGCCTCGTGGTGGGGTCTGTGTCAGGGTACGCGGCCGTGAGACCGCAGGGGGCTCAATAAACACTGCTGTCTCTGGGACCCGGAGTCTGACGCTGCCTCCAGGGCCCAGAGCTGACCGTGCGCAGGGTTTGAGGCTGCACAGTGTGGAACACGGCAGGGCCTGCCTGGGAGAGCCACAGGGACCCTCGCCTTTGGGTGCCGGGAAGCTCTCGGGCTGCCCTTCCCCCACAGGACCTGCACCTGCATGGCAGCCAGTGAGGGGTCACTTCCGGGGCCGATCGGGGCAGTGTGTTTGTGCGTGGGCAGGGTGGCCAGGCAGGGGACAATGAGCATGTTGGAGCCAGACGTCGGTGGAAATGTGCCTTGACTCAGGCACTCCAGTCAGGCCTGAAGTGACCATTGTCCTGCCGTGATGGAAGAGGCAGGCCGGACCCTGCCTCGCTCCTGTCCTACCTGGTCACATACCCTGGAGATGGGCTGGGGCTGTGTCAGGCGCTGGTCCCTTGGTGGACCCCTCGCTGGGTCCTCTCCCTGAGCCCTCCGCCCCGCCCCTTCACCCCTGCCCTGTGTGTCTCTGGTGGGGGCATCTGAGGATGAGGAGCGGGCGTGGATTCCAGATGGCGAGGTGGAGGCCGTATGCCTGCAGCCTCACCTGGGCAGGACCAGCACAGAGCGCTTGCCTCTCCCTGGCCACTGGGCGGGGCAGGACAGATGGCTGGGCACGGAGGCAGGGGCTGATAACCCCGCTGCTGCCCAGCGGAGCCTCCCTGGCTCAGGCACCCTGTTTGCTGATGTGGCCACTCCTGTCTGCCCCGAGCTGCCCCTCCCAGGCTGCGGAAGAGGCTTGAGGAAGGAGGGCTGGAGGCAGCCGGAGGAGAGGCTGTCCCCAGACCTCCCACCCGGCCCTGTGGCCTCAGGGGGCTGTGCCCACACCACCTGCCTGGGCAGCAGTGGGCAGGTTGTGAGCCTCCCGGGCCCTGCTGGTGGCACAGCCTCAGGAGAGCAGGGCCAGGACTGGAGAATGTCCTGGCCACGTGACACTCTGTGTGAGCATACAGCTCTCCCATCCCCATTTCCAGAATCATCTCTGGGAGATGTTCGTCCTGAGACAAATGTCTCTTCTCACACCTGGGGTGCCTCCCCAGCCCCGTCAGTGTCCCAGGAAGCCGGCACCCCTTTCTCCGCCGGTGTCTGGAGTGGTACCCAGCGCCAGGCAGGTGTCCAGTATGAGGCTGGTATTGTGGCGGGGCCGGATGCTGGTGGCTTGGTGACCTCTGCTGTGGTCTGTGGTCAGGACCCCAGGGTCTTGTGTGGTGAGCAGCTGTGTCCAGTGCCACCCTGGCTGGGATGGCAGCTGCGGGACTGTCCGGCCACCTTAAGCCGCTCCCGGCCTCAGGGCGTCTTCTCATGCTGTGGTGCTTAGGGTGAGGCGGCACAGCCTGGGTACAACAGCAGGAGCCATGTATGCTCCCCACTTCTGCCTGGGGCAGCTTGGGCCCCCCGGCTGGCAGGAGCTTCCAGAGGCCAGAGTGAGTGTGGGAGCCTCACGGTGGCTCTTTGTCCCCACTGCCCCATAAGAGTAGCCAGAGGTCGGGGTGGGAGGTGATGAGCTGCCGGCATGCCAGGGAGCCGAGGACCCCTCGAGGAGGGTATGCACAGCTGGGGCGGGCGCCTGAGCAGACCCTGCACCCCTGGGCACAGTGAGAGGGGTCAGGGTCCCACAGGTGCCACCTGCTGCTGGAATGTGACATTTCGGTGAGGCCATAGCACAGCCGGGTCTCAGCCGTCCAGGGTTCTGCCCACAGAACCAGGGCGGTGCAAGAGAAGAGGTGCCAGCCAGCACACCTGGGCTTGGGGCTGTGCAGGAACGTGAGGGAAGGGCACCCAGCGGGGCAGTGCACTGGAGGGGCTCAGGCGCCCCAGCTCCCAGAGCCTGAGATGGGGAGGATAGAGGCAGAGGCCTGTTCGTGCCCAAGCTATGCAGGAAATGCTCCGGGGGGGTGAGGTGGCAAGGGGCAGGATGCCTCGGGCACAGGGCCAGCACGTGCCTCCCACCACACTCACCTTGGGACGGAGGGAGGGGAGAGACCAGCAGGAGCCCAGATTCAAAAATCTTAATTTATTGTATATTTTCTCATGGGTGTGTCATTCCAGTGTTCTGAACATTAATAAATACACATGTTAAAAACCTCCAGTGTCAGATTTCATTCACAGTCTATCCCGGAGATGGGGCCAGACTTGTCCTAAGTGAAGCTGACCACCAGACTCAGAACCGCTCCCAGGAAGACGCCGCCTCGTCGGGCAGTCTCCAACCATGGCAACCATGGCTCTTCCCCGGCTCACGAGGTTAGAGGGAGGGAAGTCTGCGCTTGGTTCTCGCCTTAGATTTTCCTGTTTGGAAACTGCGTGCTGACCGCTCGGGCGCCTGACTGAAGTGCACACGGGGTCAGGTGCATTGCCCTGGCCCACAGCCACCTTCCCGCACCCCGAGCGTGCTTCCAAAGCCGGCTGCGGGGGCGCTGAACAGGGCTGCGCCGTTGTCCTGCACGATGGGCTGTTGGAAGCAAGATGCCGTAACTGGTCCGAGGCTGGAGGTAGGACCCCCGTCTGCCGGGAGAGCTGGGGGCGGGCAGGACGGAATGACATCTGGGAAGACTTCGTGCCTGCCTCTGCACTGGGCACGTGTCAACGCTGCACGGTCCTAGTGGGAGCCGGGGCAGGGGCTCAGAGCCCGCGCTCCCGGGAAGGCTCCGAGGCGGCCCCAGCTGCGTCACAGAACTGCCCCATCTCGGGGGCATACCTGTCGGAGGAGGCCGTGGGTGCCCCTGCCGAGGCAGGTGGCTCACACCCGCAGTTTCTGGCCTGCCTGATGACTCAGGCTTCAGCTCGCTGCCGGGGACCTAGCAGCGTTGGCACGTGCCAGGGCACGCTCAGCTGTGCTGGCCTCCTCATGCACATGAGATTGTCCCCACTCCCAGTGTCCGCAGAGGGCTGTCCAGGCTCCTGGCTGTGTGTGCCCCCACAAGGGCATGTCCGCAGGCGGGCGGCAGGGCTCTGCCCGTGTCCCCTCCGAGGACGGCTGCCTCGTGCTCAGCTGTGGCACCAGCTATGGGGTCTGTGGGCCCTGCCCCTGAGGGACTGCAGGAACCCCACGCCTGGGCCCTCTCTCATCAGGGCGACGGGCCTCACCGGTTCCTGATGGTTCAAATTGAAGTTTCGTTACTGTCTCTGTGCGTGGGAAGAACCACCAGGCAGGTGGAAGGACGGTCAGTGGGGACGGAGGTCTGAGCCGGCAGCAGGAGGGGGTGGGAGGCCCGGGCAGCTGACAGCGGCAGCTGGTGGAAAGCCCAGCTCCACCCTTGCATCCTCAAGCTGACCTTGGCAGTGGCTAAAGGGCCTGGCCCACATTCCCTGCCCCCAAGAGGGAAGAGGAACAAATTGGCCCCTGGGTACTTCAGCTCTAAGCTGGCCCACAGTGGCCGTGCACCCACTGGACACAGAGTGTAAGCCAGCGTGGCCTTCAGACCTGGGTGCTTGGGCTGTGGAGACTGGGCACCCACCACCCCACCCCCGACACTTACTCAGAGTCGGAGCCTTCAGCCTGGGCGCTCCCCACGCACACGGTCATGGCCACCCCATTGAGGTGCTCACGGCCCGGCTCCCTCCCTGGGGTCTTGATGGTGATGGCGCAGTCGGGGGCGCGGACCCCGTCGGCGGAGCCCAGGGAGGAGGTACGCGAGCACGCGGGGCTCTGCTCACAGTCGGCCAGCTTCTCCCGCAGCCAGCACTTGAGCGGCTGCTCTGGTGGCAGTGGCGGTGGGTACGAGACTTTGTTTTTCAGAATGCCTGAGGGGAGGTGGGGGTGACAGGGTCACACCCCAGGCGGGCCACTCTTCCCCACCCCCCCACCCCCGGGTCCCCAGGCACCTTTCCTCTGCTCCTGGGGCTGGCTGCAGGGCAAGGCAGGCTTGGCTGGACTCCCGCCATCCCGCTCCTCCTGGTGCAGCTCCACGCTGACCTTGGTCTCCACCCGGAGCTGGGCTGCCTCGCCCGCCTCCTCACTGTCGCTCCCAGCCAGGCTCTCATCGGGCCAGCCGGCTGGGACGTGGTTGGCTACAGCGTCCACTAGGGCGGAAGAGCAACTCAGCCAGGTCCCCCCAGCATTGCCTGTCTGGGAGCCACACCTGAAGGAGTGGCCCTGTTGTCACCTCCCTGCCCTATTCCCTACTGCCCGTGGCCAGAGGACCCCAGGCCCTTCTTGCTGTGCTCACTGATGGGTGTGGGGAGCTGTGGGTGCCCACCTTTCGGGGTACTGTGGGCTGGGCCTTGGGCCGGGGCCCAGGCGTCTCCAGCCTCGCCGGCCTCATCCTCACTGTCCGACGAGCGCGAGGAAGCGTAGGAGCTGCTCTGCTCGTCCAGGGACAGCTCGCTGTCCGAGTCCGAGTCGGGGCCTGCGGGGCGCGGGGACAGAGCCTTCAGTGCTTGTGCAGGGGTTGTGAGACGGGCCACCTCTGCCTGCCCGGGGAAGCTGTACCGTGGGCTTTCTTGGAGCTCCTGGGGATGAAGGATGAGTCCACTTCCCCATGCCCGCCCCGTGCTGGTCTGGAAGACACACTCAGCTTCTGTACGGCTTCATCCCTGCAGAGAACAGAGGGTGGGTCCAGCACAGGGCTCGGGGCAAGTGCCAGGCCGGCTCGAGGAAGGGTGGGACAGCTGCTAGGGACCTGCGCAGCCCACAACCCCAGCAGGCACCCACCTGACAGTGCTGTCCAGCGAGACCGTGGACTCGCCCAGCCCCGTGCGAAGCATGTCGGCCCCCTCGCTGCACGTGTTGTTGCAGTTGAGAGAGCGCTGCAGGGCAAGCAGGGCAGGTTGGCGCCGGCAGAGGG